CTAGGCGGCTTTTCAAACTGGGCGCGAAGCGTCCGAGCCCTCCTCCGAGCCCCCCCCCCCACGCCTCCGCGCGCTCCAGGCGCTCGCCCTCCCACTCCCCAGCCCTCTCCGCGGACCAGGGAGGAAATGACGTGATGTTATTTTTGTGTCAGGTCAGTTATTCCAGTCCTCGAGCGCTGAGGCTTACTGCCCCGCCGCGACCGCTCCCTCCGCGCTCGGCGACCTCAGAGCTGGGCGCCAGGGCTTCCCCGCCGCCCAGTCCGTCTCCCCTCGCCGCGAACTCGGCAGTCCCTGGAGAAGGGGGGGTTCGGGGCGTCTGCCGAGGGACTCCGAGGCATCCTGCGTCGGGGGTTCGTTTTCTCTGCGCTCCACTCCTCCCCGGGTCTCCGGCTGCCGCCTCCAGGCTCTGGCTGACGGGGACGGGGTGAAGACCCCCTTTCCAGAGTGGGAGAACAGAACGAGAGGCGGAGGCTGCCCAGGGCCCGGGCGGGGGCCGAGCGCAGAAGCACCCGGGGCGCGCAGTCCACAGGCGCAGTTTGGGGGACTGAGCGCCGCCCGCCTCGCAACATTCACTAGGTCCAGGCGCGCGGTCCCGCACGCGCTCGGCCCCCGCACGCTCGGCGCGGGATGGAGAGCGAAGGTTTTGCCGACGCTGCCAACACTGGCTGGGCGTCGCACCCTCCCCCTCAGGGGTGAAGGAGGAGAGCTCAGGTCGGGGCGCAGGACTCGCCGCTGGGGGCCTGGGGAGGTGCCCCCAACCGCCACCGCCGCCGCCGCCGCCAGAGGGAGGCGAGCCCGGGATTGCCCAGCCCGCGCAGGAGGAGGGAGGGGGCGGGGAGCAGGCAGAGCGAGGAAGGAAGAGGAAGCGAGAAGTGGGCGAGAGCGAAGACGGAGCTTCGGGTAGGGGAAAGCCGAGGAGAGCAGTCGCGGGCGTAGTAAGGACCGCACTCGGCCTTGCCTTAAAGTAAGGCACACGCCGGACGCATGCGCACGGCCGGCGGGGGCGAGCGGGCGGGAGCCTCTCCGGCTGGTCGGGCGGACGGTGGGATCGTGAGTACCCGGCTCCCTCAGTGTCCCCGTTTTTCCTCTCGGAATCGCGCTGAGGCTTCGGGCTGGGAAGCGACAGCGTCGGTGCGGGCGCGCACGCTCGGCGGCACCCGGGGCTCGTACCCACCGCGCAGCCGGAGAGGGTGCGAGTCTGTTGCCCCTTTAGGAGCCCACCCCGGTCCGGTCCGGTCCGCTAGTCCGTGCGTGTCGGGAAGCGGTGTGGGCCGAGGTGCGTCTGTGTCTGAAGAGGGCCGTCGAGCCGAGACCAGTCTCTACCTGGTCCGCCAGGCGCCCGCCCGCGCCGTTCCAGCTCTGCTGCCCTGGGTCTCGGACAGGGTGGGGGACGCGGCAGCCGCTTATCGATCACCCCAGCACGTGTGGGAGCCTCGGGGCGGGAGAAAAGTGGGCGTCCGCACGGGATGGTGAGAAGGGCGAGGAAGGGAGCGGGCGTCTGAGGCGGGCCCTTTGAGCGCCGGTGGGAAGGGGAAGGCGCCGCCCCCGGAGTCGCAGCACCTCCCTTTCGGAGACGGCGGCCCGGGCGGGGCCCGAGGAGCAGGGCCGGGGAGCGTGGCCCGGCGGGGACGGTTTGGTGCCCGAGTTTACCCAAGACGCTCTTCTCGCCCCCGGAAGCTGCACGGACAGATCTGCCCCTTCAGGTGCCGGCGTCGTGGAGACTGTCTGTGGACAAACCCGGCGCTTGGTCTTCCCCACTTTCGGAGCTGCGCTGGGGAAGTTGGAACGAGTCCGGGCGCCCGGCGGCGCGGTCGGAGGGTGGCGAGGTGGGCCGCTGGGCGGGACGGAAGCGGGCGCTGAGAGGAGGGTCTGGGTGCGCGGCTGCCCTCCAGCGTTGGCCGAGAGACGGCAGGCAGGGACAGCGTCGGCCTCTTTGGGGTAGCTGTGTGCACAGCGATCCCCCCGTCCACTCGTGGGGGGGACCATAACGGGGTGAGGGCTTGAGAGAGCGGCTCATCGGGATAGCGCTGGGCCTTCGGGGAGGGGGGGAGAGGTCATTGTGCTCCGCAGCCTTCTTGCATCGGAAAGAAAGGGCGAGAGGTGGTGGGCGTTGCAGGGAGGTTGTCAGAGGGGGCCACCACCTGCCCACCCCGCCCCCACCTGTGGAAGAAGCTTTGGGGAGAAAGGGCGAGAGGACTGGATTGGGTCCTGAGCTTCCCAAAGTCTCCAGCATCCGAGCAGTTTGGGCCAATGAACAATACCAGCAGCGAGCAGGACGAGGTAGGAAAAGTACAGGGCCAGAAAGGGAGTGACGGCTGCTGTCCTGCGCCACCCGCGGCGGACAGGATGGAGAGGTCTGTGTGGTGGTACAAGATTTCTATCCCGGAGGGGGAGGGCGAGGGCGAGGGCGAGGGCGAGGGCGCTAAGTCTCTCCTGTCCTCCCTTCTCAGCAAGTGCAAGAGGCCAATCCTTCTAAGTGAATCCCTAGTCCACACCCTATTAGGTGTCCTGCTGAAGTTCTCGAGTTCCCTGTGGATCCCTCTCCCCTGCTAGCTATAGCGCTCGGAGGCATCAGTCATCTGCCCTTGCATGACTTGGCTTCAGTTTCCTTCTGGTGGCTTCAAACCATAGAATTAACCAAACAAAGATCCACGTTTAGGAAACGATTTGGCTTCTCCCCGGACTTGCCAAGGACACTTTAAATGAAATGACTATCTTTAAATTCCTTGGCACAATCATGATTTGCGTTTTACTATTTTTGTTTATTTTATTTTTGCACAAAACCTGATTTTCTGTTGGGTCTCTTCCTATGTATCTTCTGTTCATTAAGTAGCATCTTTTGTTGTATGTATAGGTACCTCATGGAATAGGCAACATTATCTCATGGATAAGAGTCCTGGGATCTTTAGCTGTCAGTTCAAATCTCCAGCTGTCTGTGTGACTTTAGGCAAGTTACCTAACTTCTCTGTGCCTTAGGATAAATAGAAGTGTCCATTTCATGGTGTAGTTACTGGCATTCTATAGATTAATACAGTAGAGCTCTTAATAACTTCCTGGCACCAAGTAAAAGTTATCATGAAGGGCTGGGGATTCAGCTCAGTGGTTTCCCCGCCTGCTGCGAAAGCACAAGGACCCGAGTTCGATCCCTGGTACAGAAAAAAAAAAATTATCATGAAGATGATAAGTTTGTTCAGTGGACTTCAAAATATAAAAGAACAGGAATAAAAGGTGTTTTCGTCTCTTTAAAGAGTAGGTACAAAGAAATAGATGTCCCATCATCAAAATCAGAAGAACATTTTCTACTATTTAAATGTAAATAACAAGGCCTTTTATAGATGGACCTTTTATGAGATCCATACAAGCTTCAAAGAGCATTTGAAGGAAATTCTCTCCAACCTTCAAAAAGAGTTCACTTTACAAAATAGATACATTTTTAAAAATTTATGAAGTTTGTTGGTCCATTTTAGGTGTACAATATGATGACATTCATCATTGGAAATTTGCACCTTTACATGATGTATCTTGGTCTTATTTTTTTCCCCATTCGCCTGCCCTCCCTTCAACCCCTGCACCCCTCCTTATTTACAAAGACTTTATCTCCGGTTTTCCTTTTCTCATATTTATTCCTTTCCCTTCTTTCTTTTCGCCTAGCCCACCTTTCCCCTTCCCCTTTGGATCTTTTCTTCCTATTTCACATTATCTATTATATATTTTCATCCTTATTTACACTTTTAGTTTCTCACACTAGAGAAACTATTCGGTATTTACACAAGTGTGTTCTCTTTATTTCACTTAAGGGTGTGGCCTCAATGTGCATTCATTTAGCTATAAATGTCTTTAGTTTCTCATTCTTTATGGCTGAGTAGTACTCCATTTTATTTTAAAAATCACATCTTTATCCAGTCTCCAGTTGATGGAAAATTGGGCTGCTTCCAAGTTTTAGCTATTACAAACTGCCATTATGAACATGGGTGCACATATACCACTGTGTTATGTTGCTTTTAGTTGTTTTGGGAAGATACCCAGCAGGGGAATAGCTGGGTCAAATGGGACCTCTAGTCTTAGTTCTTTGAGGTCTCTCCATACTGATTTCCACAGTGGTTGCACCAGTCTGCTCTCCCACCAACAGTGGAGAAAGGTTCCTTTCTCCCCACAACCCCACCAGCATTTGTTATTGGTGGATTTCTTGATAGCTCTGGGGTGAGGTGGAATGTTGGCATTGTTTTCATTTGCATCTCTCAAATGACTTTCAAAGTTTTGTTGAAAGCGTTTTCATAGGACAAAACATACATTTTAGAAGCACAAGTTAAAAAGGGCTGGGGAAGTGGCTCCATGCTAAAGCATCTTACCTGACATGCCCCAGGCCCTAGGTTCAATCCCCAGGGGCCCTAGGTTGGAGGTGAGGGGAAGGAAAATATGTGCTAAAGACTGCTCTGTGGGAAAACATAGTGCATGTGGACATAATATTTACAAAAATTCAGCACCTTTACTGAAATACTGTATTGAGTCCATTTTATTTAAGAGAATCTGCAAACTTTCTTGGGAACTAGAGGGGCTAATTTTTCTGAGAGCATTGTAAACATTTCTCTATAATGTTTATTATGTCAGAAATGCAGAACAATGACAACTGGATGACTTAATCTACCCCTACATTTTGCATATGAGGAAACATTCAGATTAAGCCCCCAGCTCATTAGAAGCTAAAATAAGGTTAGAATTATATGTTCCTCACTCCCCAGGGCTCTTACACACCACTTTTATGATTTCCTATTTTCTGCCAACTTGTAAACCTTTCACGAATAGGACACCAGAAGGTCTATATAAGGAGAAAATATACAAGTGTGTGTTACAGGCAGTAGTGGTGTGGCTACTGTTGTCCACAGCTTTGTCATGGCCTTTCACAGAATTAGGCATGACCACATGATTTGCCTCAGCTAAGCTGAGGTCACAGATCAAGCTAGAGAAAATTTAAAGCTCTCTAAGGTATGCATTCAGTTGTATGTGTTATTAATCCCTTGAAAAAGTTTTATATTACAAATCATTTTTAAACTCTTCTTAAAATTTCCTTCCTGCTACCTTTGCTATGAGAAACGCTTTTAGGAAAGGCTTTCAAAATTGCACTAATTTTATTTTTCCAGATTTTGTGGACTAGGAAGAGTGAAGAGAAAAACAAAAAGCTTTCTTATTTTAATTCAATAGCCTAGTTAATGGTTTCATTCCAGGCCCTTGATTTTCACTTCCTAAAATCCTGTCCACTGCTATATGTGGCAATCCAATGACTTCCATCTTCCATGGGTGGTGCAGATTGTAGGTTATAGATCTAGCCCTCACATGAACAGTTTAGGAATTATATGGCAGAGACTTGTGGGTAAGCGTATGGACTTGCACAGTTATTTATAGGAATAGTGTGTTTTCTAGGGAAGGTACTTCTAGGAATTGTGCCTGCATCCTGGAGGAAGGAAACTGGTTCTTCTCTAGTGTGTGAACTATTTATCTTACCCTTTACTGCATCGGCTACTCCATGACCTTGAACAGAGATAGAGGGTGTGCAGCAGGGATTGACTTTTTAGCTTGCTTTCAAGCTAGTTTAACAGAACTGAGTTTTGAAATCACACTAAATCCAATCCCAATATGATTAGAATGTTAATCACTGTCCAAATGGGAGTCTTTCAGATTGGTTCTCAGTGCACCACCAGGTGACTCACCATTTGGGCTTCTATTCAACAAGTACGGTGTCAGCAACAAAGAAAGTTCACTCCGAGTCAGAGCTTACCATTTAGTACAATAAGTGTGAGTCATTGTCTAGGGCACCATCTGAGATGGTCCCTAAATGTGACCTTGAGCAGCACACTCCAGAGTTGGGACTAGAAGCAAGGGGTTAGACAGTTCATAGAACAATTGAATGAGCTCTTGCGGAGGCCATTCACCATAAAGTTTGGTACCACTGAGCGCTCAGTGTAATATTAAATGATTAGGAATCCATAGACTAGAGCACCTTGATTCTAAACCAGCTGATGGTATTTTAACTAAATTTGCATGGATCATTTGTGAAATATGAATAATCTGCTCAATTGACCATGAGTGATATTCCACATGAATTACTTCCAAAGTCATTGAAGCCAGTTGACTTTTCTGGTTTCTCGTTATTAAGTAATTTTACTCGAAATTGTAAAATCCTTTTTGATAGGTATGTATTAGTATTTGGATTTTAGACAAAGACATCTCATGAAAAGTTACCCAGTAGTTTTACCATGTCACCTCTGAAGCTAACTGAACAGTCATTCTCAAGAATGCTGTAGAAAACAAGTTTGAGCTGCTGCTTTAAGGATAACAACATTTACCCCACCCCCACTGTTTGGTTTTTTTGGTGCTGGGAATTGAACCCAGGGCCTTGCTCATGCTAAGCAGTGCTGTCTACCACTGAGCTACATCCTGGGTGCTAGATGCAGGACACTTCTACTCCTAAGTCTGTATGGCTAGAATCGATACAAAAACAGAAAGAATTATGCAACTTATTCCTTACCCTACCCTTGAAAATTACGTTTATGTCTCAGGGTGGGGTATAATGAGATTTAAGGGACTAGTAAATTTCTTAATTCGTGCAAAAATGTCATTGATAATTAGAGATGTTATATCCTTGCAAATAAGATACTGTATAAGGGATCTACCATATACCTTTATTGTGTTTTTATATGTGTTTTAGTGATAACCTGGCTACTAATTCATATATCTCCTGCTCCATACAAAAGTATAGATACTTTGTATTTAACAGAGACTTTACATAAAGAGTCAACTCATTCTCATTTATTGTAATTCCTGGAAAATT